GGTTGGTTGACATGCTCAGCAATGGACTTGGAACAGTTGTACTGACATACCACCTGCATTCATGTATCTGCCTTTTGGGTAGTAAGTCTTGTATATGTTTTGAACTGTGTATGAAATTGGGCCAGCTGGGGCCAGTAGAATGGCTCAATGTGTAAAAGTGCTTGCCTCACAAGTCTGGTAACCTGAGTTGAATCCCTAGAATCCATAGAAAGATGGAAGGAGAGAGGCTAAAGAAATAGCTCAGCAGTTAAGAGCATTTTCTGCTCTTCCAGAAGACCAGAGTTTGGTTCCTAGCACCTATGTCAGGGGGTTCACAACTACCTGTAATTTTATCTCCAGGGAATCCAGTGCCCTCTTCTGGTCTCTCTAAGCATGTACACGTGGTATATATTCACACAAATGCACACACATAGACATAAATAAGAATGAAGTCCTCTGATTTCCACCTATGTGTCATAGCATGCAGCCCCCCAGTCATACACACACACACACACACACACACACACACACACACACACACAATTTTTAAAAATGGGCAATTGAACAAGGCATTACTAAAATACAGATAAAAATGCTGCTGGGGGATTAAAACTTTACTGGTTTTAGAGAGAGTCTTATTAAGTTAAATGCTTTCCTTTAAAGCACATTAATATTTAAACATGTGGAAAAGCTGAAAATTAATTCAATTCCTACTTTACCTTTGTGGTTTGTGGAAATGCAAGACACTAAATCCTTTGTGTTGGTGTTTGTGTGCTGCACAGTTCCTGTTGGAAGGTCTGTAAGGAACTAGACACCTCAGTCAACCGTCTGTAGTTATCTTACGAAAACAGGCATACATGAATAACCACAGTTTGGGGAGAGAGAGATGGAGGTGTTCAGAGCTGGTATCAAGCTCCTCTTCTATGTATTACTGCTGTATTTTCCCAAGATACCCAAATATTTATTTGCTTTATCCCCACTTACAGAAGGTCAAGGTGGTCTGATCTAAAGTCACTGATATCCAGTGTGTTAGGAAAGACCTTCCTTCTGGGTCTACTGAACTGGCCGTTTTCTTTCTCTGAATATAAGCAGTAGGAAAAATAAAAAGTTTTAAGTGTGTTCCCTATTGTTAGCCTACAAATGTCTTGCCTCTGTATCTTGCAGTGTCTCTGGGTTTGGTGATTTATCATATGTGTTTGTAAATCTGTTCCAGGGAAAGGAAATAGAAATAATCACGAGAAATGAGAGGGAAAGTGTATTGGTGTTGAAGAGTTAGAATCTTGACATAACAGGCTACAGAATAAGCCCAACGCATTTCTCCATCTGCTCCAATAGAGTTTAACCCTCCGATTGGCCCTTCTAAGCAGAAAATTTATCTCAAGTCTTTCACTGGATAAGAATTTTATCTTTTAAAAAAAGTTATTACATTTATTTCTTATTGGGAGGCATGTACATGCCAAGGTACGTGTGTGGAGGTCAGAGGACACCCCACAGAAGTCAGTTCTCTCCTTCCATCATGTGGAACCTGGGGATTGAACTTAGGTCCTCAGAGTTGGAGGTTAGCACGTTCACCTGCTGAGAGGTCTTGACTGCCCTACAGCTTGGTTGTTTTCTTTAGGAATATTACAAAGTGTTCAAAGCTGACTTGAGCCAGGGAGATATTGATCTGTTTCCTTCTGAGACACTAAAATTAGATTGAAAGGCCCTTGGGGGGCTGGAGAGATGGCTCAGTGGTTAAGAGCACTGGTTGATCTTACAGAGGACCTGGGTACAATTCCTAGCACCCACATGGCAGCTAACAACTGTCTGTAACTCCAGATCCGGTGCCATCTTCTGACCTCTGTGGGCATTGCACAACATGGGTGCATGCAGGCAATACACACATATAATATAAAAATAAAATATTTAAAAAAGAAAGGACCTGGGCTTTTACTCTCCTCAGAGTGTCCTTTTTATGTTGTGGGGAGGGGAAGGGTTATTAGAGACAAAAATTGAATTGTGTCTGAAAAGCATGTAGTTTGCCATTCTCAAATTCACATTGCTTCACTCTTTGTAAAGTATCAACCCTCTTCATCTCACACCGGGGATTTCAGAGTTCCACAGCATCTAAAGATGTTCTGGAGTTTGTGTGTTGGGTTTTTGTTTTCTTTTGTTTTTGTTTTTTTTTGGGAGGGGATCTTTTTGAGACAGGGTCTCCCTGTAGCCCCAGCTTTCCTGGAACTCGCTATGTAGACCAGGCTGGCCTTGAACTCACAGAGATCCACCTGCCTCTGCCTCCCAAGTGCTGGGATTAAAGGTGTGCGCCACCACGCCCGGCTTGTGTGTCGGTTTTAAGAGGTTAGGCTGCACACATTGACTGCCAGAGGTTTGTGGCTTCACAGTCTAAAACATTCTAAAATGGTCCCAGGAACCTTGTGATCACTGTGCAAGATATAAAAACCGTGCCAAGTTCCACACTTAGCTCTGGGCCTCCATCCATAGTGCCCCAGGGACTCCGTGCACACCGAGGCTGCTCCTCTGCTCGTTACCCCGTTATTTCAACAAGGTCCAGGCGGGGCTCCGCCTCTTTCTTCTCTCCCCTCCCGCCTCTCCATTTCTCCTGTTCATTCTTCAGATTTGCCCCGTCAGGCGGAAATTTTTACTCTCTTTCCATGATTACTTATGAGTTCTTAAAGTTTTTTTCATTTTATAAATGTTTAGATAGAAATTTCTTTTCAGAATGATTTAATGAATCAAGGTTTTAACCAAATTATAACTTACTTAAGAATTCAATTGAGAAAGCAAGTCTTGAAGCAAGTTATATGTGCCTTCCCTGTCAGCTTTTTATTGAATTTGTCATTGCATAGAAAATTTACTCTAGGGGCTTGAGATATGGCTCTGAGGTTAGGCGTGTACACTGTTCTTACAATGGATCTGAGTTCCCCGCACCTGTGTCAGGCAGTTCATAACTGCCTCCAAGTCCATCTCCAAGGGATCCAATGCCACTGGCCTCTGATGACACTGCACTCACACACACACACACACACACACGCACACACACACACACATGCAATTAAAAGTGGTAAAATGAATCTTTAGAAAAAGCTTCAACCTACTATTTAATCTGCAACGGTTGGTAGACATGACAGTCTATAGAATCACTGCATTTCATATGAAATACATGCATGGTATGTATTGTTCCTACTTGTGTAAAACTACATATGTGTTTCACATATAATAAGAAAGACAACACCCCCCAGAGGGTAGTGAAGTGTCAGAATCCTCAGCTACAGTGAGTGGGGCCTGAGTGTTCAAGTCTGCAGACAAAGAGCCTCCTTCCATCCCAAGCACACCTGGGACAGGAGCCAGGCTTCTGTGTGCCTAGCCTGGGACCACCTCTTTAGCTCTGTGTCCTTACTATTGTTTCCTGGGTCATCAGTGTGGAGCCGGGTGGGTGAAAAGCTCTCCATCCCCAGAACCTGGGTGGCCTCCTGTACAGGGAGCCTTATAGCAGCTGGGATACTGGTTCAATCTGTTCTCATGTTTGGTATAAAGGGAAAATGCATTTAGAGTACCTTAGAGGTCTTTTCTTTGTGGGGGGGGGCATAACTGTGCAACAGAGGGTGGGCGGGGCATAATTTTAATGAAAACACTGAAAACCAACCTCTAGTGAGAGCCTGGGAAGGAAGGGCTGGAAGGAATGGGAGACTATCCTAACCACAAATCTCACTCAGAGAAACAGCACAGCTCCCAGCATGCTGAGGACCAGGCAGGGCGCTAGCTAGGCTTGGGGTAGTGGTGCCAGATGGCAGATGGTGGACTGGAGAGCCCTCATCAGGTCTGCTGAGTGACCACCGCCCCTGTGATTTTGAAATCCTTAATGATAACAGTCAGGGAACCCGAGGAGGTGCAGGGAATACCACTAGGTCTTGGGAGTAGTCCAAAGCGTCCTGGCAGGCCTGGGAGTCTCTGGACAGGGGTCAGCATCCCCTTCTTCCGGAGTTCCAGGACCTGCCGGCGTGTGTGCTCAGATGTGATTGATCATCCTAGCTCGGGAGGCCCGCGCACCAGTAGAGTGGCGAGGCCAAGACTCAAGAGTGGCCAGAGGCCCAAGAAAGACAGGGTCTAGGGGAAACCAACAGGGAGGCGCAGAGGCCTCCAGAGAGGCTAGATGCCTAAGCCAGGGCGGCTCACACTCAGGGACAGTTCGCGCGAGTCTCCACACAGCGGCGCTGGAGCACGTTTGAATGCGCCAAAACAACTTAATGGAAGCCCGAACCGCGCGGCTTTGGGGGTCATGGCGCCCCTCGCCCTGCCTCTCAGTGGGGGGATCCCGGGCGGAGCGGGGCTGGGGGATGTTGCTGGTATCCCAAGCTCTGCAGCCTCTGCTGGTATTTGCAGAAAATGCGTGCAGACAGGCAGGCTGGAGTGAGCGGTCTCCTTGAGAGCCGGCGCTGGGAGGCTTCTCTGGCCTCCTCTCCCCCGCGTAGGTCGCCCTTTCCTTCCTTGAAAGAGCAGGTGGAGGCAATGGAGCTCTTTTCGAAATCCCAGGTGTTGGAAGGAAGGTGTGCTCCTGAGCCACCCACGCCCCTCCAGACCCTCCTGGCAGGCCGGGCTCCCTCCCCGCAGCGCCTCCGGCTCCCTCCACCCCGCTTCCCGCGCAGGTTTGGGGGGTCTTGGCTGCTGTTTCAAGTTAGCCACAGCTGGAAGATAAACAGGAGGTGGGGAGTCCTTGGGAGGCAGCCCAGCGCCTGGACCCGGATCCGGCGGGTGGCCGCGTCCCCCACCGAGCGGCCCCTCGGGTCCACCACGGTTAGGGTCTCCTCTCCACTCCTGCGGTTCGTCCTGCGGTTCTCAAGCACCGGGGGGCGAGGTCCCCGGGGGAGCTGGGAGCGTCCCCAGCCCTGCCCCCGCCCCCAGCATCCACGACCCGTGGCGCCGTGAGCATCCCCCGCACCCTTCTCCCCAAGCGCCGTCAGCGGGGCCCAGAGCTGGGGACCGGGCTGGGAGGGGAAGGAGGAGCCCGCGGGGGGCCGGGGCGGGGACCAGGAGATGCGCCGGGATGCGCACCGGTCTCTAGGTGGTGCCAGTAATGGGGCCTAGGCTTGTCCCTCCCTTGATGCGCTCCTGGATTCTTTCCTTCCTTCCGTTTCTTTGGTGAGGCCGAACGTGGCCGTGGGGAGGACTTTTTTAAATAGGAAAGAAAGAAAAAACGCAAAGCAGACCGAGCCGGCGACCCCACCGACCCCTGGATTCCGCCAGCCGCTGGGGGAGGGCGGGGAGGAGGCTGAGCCAGGCAGAGTCGCCGGCGGAGCCTCGCGAGTGGCGCGGAGCGGCGGCCGTGCCGGGATTCTGCCGCCTCTTTCCCCATCGCCTCCTTGTTCGGATCCGTCCTTCCTTCTTGTTGCCGGAGGGGGTGAAGAGCGGGAACCGAGCGAGAAAGGAGACTGTTCCGTAAACGCACCGAAGCCAGCGAGCGAGCGCGGCCGATGGCTTCTCTGTACCAGCGCTTTACCGGCAAGATCAACACCTCGCGCTCCTTCCCGGCGCCCCCGGAGGCCAGTCGCCTCCTGGGCGGCCAGGGGTCCGAGGAGGACGGCGGCCCCAAGCCCCTGGGGCCGCAGGCACAGGCGGGGGTGCCCCGGGAGCGCGGCGGCGGCGCGGGTGGCCGGCCCCGGTTCCAGTACCAGGCGCGGAGCGACTGTGAGGACGAGGACGTAAGAGCATCGCGGTGGGTGGGTGGCTCGGCGGGGCTCGGGGCGCCCTGCTCCTCTCTTCGCCCCCCCCCCCCCCCCCCCCCCCCGCTCCCAGCGCCGGCCCGCAGATGCTCTCCTCGGCTCCGGATCTCCTGGTCCGGAGCCTGTATCTGCTGGCCGCCACCGCGGCCAGGAGTTGGTGGCTGGAGCAGGCAGGGTTTTGGAGCTGCGCCTGCCAGGATCTGGAATCCGCTTGGGATTCACTAGATGTGTGGATGTCTGTTTGTAGCCTCAGCCTGCTGTGGCCCCCAAGAAGGGAATTAGGTCTGCCTGTGCTTATGAGTTGTGTTTTATATTTATTTTCCTGCTTTAAGGCCCGGGAACAGACAGCCCAGGCGCTTCCCGCCCCGCCCCTTCTACTTGTCCCTGAGGTCTGTCCATGGTGGCCCTCCTCTCCATTCTGCCTCTCTGTTTGCCCCCGGATTCCTTCTCCCCAACACACCAAGCATTATGGTGTGATGTTTTTCTCCAAAAAGATAAAGTACTTTCTTCAGAGTCCCGACCCCTGACCCAGGACCAGCACAGTCTTCTCTGAGAAGTTCCAGGTAATCCCACCAGACCTGTGAGCCTTTGGGCAGCAACTCTAGGATCTTGCTCCTTCCCTGAAAAGTTCTCGGGGCACTTGCATACACTTGGGGCTGGAAATCTGGGCTTCAAAGGCTGTATTTGCCTATCACCCTAGTTACCCAGGGTGCCAGTCCTTTAGAGTACCAGTGGCTTCAGAGATAGATGGGTTGAGTATCTCCTGTTGATCCCTTCCTGCACCACAAGTTCTTGCAGAGAGGAAATTGTCTGTTCCCAAGGAAAAGACACATCTCCCAGGCCAGCCCTCAGGCAGACAGGTCTGGCTTGGCTGGCATAACACTTAGAGACTGGGCAGCCTGTTTCTGAGGGGGCCCTTTGGAGCAGAGCTCTGCAGCAGGGTCTTTGCACAAGCCTATTAGTCCTGCTCATTCTCCCAGGACAGAACATCTCCCTGCACTGGGGGAGGGGGTGTGGGTGTGACTGTGGGACCTCCAGGGTCTTAGGTGACACCATATCTCTGGTAGCTAATTTTTGGTGTAAGAGGTATGAGTGGAGGTGTGTGTGCTTTCTCAGGGGCAATTCTCAGTAACCAGATCTTATGAAACCAGTGAGGACATGTTGTTAATGGTGTGTTTTGTTTTATGCTAGATGACATGGGGATAGTCACAGAAGTGAGAGGAGTTGGTGGGGTGTGTAGTTTGCATGCCCAAAACACACAGCCCTGCATGAGGCATTTCTCTTTCTTGGGTCATTCCTGCTCCTCCCCCACCCACCCCTCGTTTAGATAGAGATACCCAAGACATGGCCCATGGGCCAGTGGATCAGTTGGAGGAAGAGGGATATATTCATCAGAAGTCTGGTTCAAGAAACTAGAATTCCTTGGGGGGAGAATATCTGAGCAATGGCAAGGAATTCTGGAAGATTCTGTTGACTTGGGGGTCCTGAGGAGACAACAGACCTGCAATGCAGACAGAAAACATGCGCTCTTTTATTTTTTCTGAATTTGACCTGAAAGCCTCAGATTGTGGGTCTGGAGTTAGCCTGCCTGAGCTTCTCAACAGACTCTAGGTGTCGCTAGCAGAAAGGGCAGGAAGGATAGAGCACCAGCCATCCGAGCCCCGCTCATCTGGGTTGGGTTTGTTTGTCTTTTTTTTTTTTTTTTTTTTTTTTTTAAAAAAAAAAAAACAATTTCTAGCTTGGAGCAAGAATTTCCCTCTCTTCATTTTTATTTCTGTCCATACTGCTTCTTAGAGAAGATACTGAGCTCAAGACAAGAACAGATCTGGGATCTTTAACCAGTGTGGTTAGAGCTCTGAACAGTATTATCTCTAACTTAGATTCATTAGGGCATGGCATCATGTTTGTTTCCTTAAAAACATGGAAATGTCGGTAAGCATGCACGCTCATGTGCACTGGGATCAGCCTTATGTGTGAACTTATGTACTCATGTACCTGGGGGATGGTTTAATACATGCACACTCATATATATGTGGGTCACCCTAGTGCATGCACACTCATATGCAAGGGTTGATCTAGTGCACACACAGTCGTGTGCACAGGGGTCTGCCTAGTGTGTACATCATATAATGGTGGTGTTCTATATTTCACCTTATCAGGTCACAATAAGTACACACCTGCACTAATGCATCTCACATGTTTTCTGCAAAGTTGCAGGTGTGTAGGCTGAAGAAAGCTCGGGGATGGCATCCCAAGGTGCATAGATAATAAAACTAACTGAAGCATGTGGGAGTCACTCTAAATAAGTAGTCATCAGCTGTATCTACCACATAACCAACAAAAATAGCCATGAGAAGTAATCATGTGTTCATTTCTGTCACTGTGTGTATCCCATGACATCATTCTGTTCGCCCCCTATGCACACATTCATTAAGCCAATGGCACAAGGCTAAATGTAGCCTCAATTTTGAAGCTGATTTTCTCTGAGAAGTTTTTAAAAATTTGTCACAGTTATGCCCAGACATTTGCCAAAGACGGATGTGCATATCAAACCCCTTTTCTTCCAGGAACAGAAGTTTCAATTGGCCTACATTATGAGGTTACTGATAATCTTTGAATTTTAAAACAACAGTTTAGACACCTGCTTTTGTCAAGATTGAAGAATCTCACACTGTCATTTTTTTTTTCCTTAATCAAATGAAAACTGGTTAGGAACACATTACATTGTCAAGGACCTTGGGGGGTGGGGTGGGAAGCCTTTTATCTACTGGGTCCTAAGGAACCAAGGGGGGGGCGGTTATGGTGCTGTCCGTGGTGCTGAATCGCTCTTTTTCCATTATCGTAGGAAATTGCCACCATCTTTGTCCAAGCAGTCACAACCCAAAACTGGTGATGGCATCACCCTTCTGTGCCCCACCAGTTATACAGAGCTGTTGTAGCATACAGAAACAGCTTCCCTGTCCTGATCACCCAGATACTGGTGAGAAATAGACCTTTAACACACATTGACCTTTGTGCCTCTTGTCCTTGGAGCCAGAAAAAGGGAGATAAAAGAATTCCAGAGTTTGAGCGTGTACATAAACAAACATGTAGGCTGGGGAAGTGGCTCAGTGGGTAAAGTACTTTCCACACAAGTATGAGGCCCTGAGTTCAAAGCCTCTGAATCCATGTAAAGGCCTAGCCTGATAGAGCATATGTCTGTAACCTCAGTGCTCCTGTATACCGATGGGAATTGGAGACGTTAGAACCCCAGATGATGCCACATCCCATGGTCTGGTGTACCCAGCAGCAGAAAAAGACCAGTGAAAGACCCTGATCAAAAAAGTAGAAAAGATAGAAGTAACACCTCAGGTTGGCCTCTGACCGCCACACCTGCACCATGGCACATGCCCCCCACCCCCCTACATATACACAAGTGTTAGTTAAATAAGACACATATGCCTGTATGTGACTTGAGAAAAATTAATTGCCATGAGATTTATGATAGCCTACTAAGACTCATCCAGAAATGAAAGTCTATATTTTTATTGATTAGCGAATGGAAACGCCAGTGAACAGGTTTGGAAGGACTGGCGGTGAGCTAACAGGTCAAACGCTATGTTTGCTTTTTTCCCCTTTGTTTTTTTTTATCTTTTTTGAGACAGGATCTTTCTGTAGCCCCAGCTGCCCTGGAACTCACTAGGTAGACCAGGTTTATCTCAGTCTCACAAAGATTCACCTGCCTCTGCTTCCTCAGTGCTGGGATTAAACACAGCACCACCAAGCTTGGCCAAACATTACATTTATGACCAATGCCCTGCACAGCTCCATAGAAGAGCTCCTTTGGATGATATGATGGTTCATCTCAATTGTCAACTTGGTGAGATATAGAATCACTGGCTTCTAGGAATGTCTGTGGGAGATTACCTATAGGTTAATTGAGGCAGGAGGACCTGCCCATGCTGGATAGCACCCTTTCCTGGGCTGCGATCATGGACTGTATTAGAAAATGAGCTGACCACTAGCCTCCATCTGCTTCCTGGATACTGACACAATGTGATCAGCTCTCTGGAACTCCCACCTGCTGTGACTTCTCCACTCTGATAGACCACACCTTGAAAGCAAAGCATGAGCTAAAATCAACCCTTTCCCCTTAAGTTGCTTTTGTCTGGATACTTTCTCACAGTGCAAAGAAGTAACTAAGGCAGGTGGGTCAGTTCTAAGAGCGAGAAACAAATCAGAGGGCCTTTTATTTTTAAGTCTGTTTCCTCATAAATTTTACATTTCTTTAAATGTAAAGTCAATTAGATTGGCAACTCCTCTGGGGAATCAATAGCTGCCTTTATTTAAAATTCATGGTGTAGACTTAAAAATAAGTTGACTCTAAAGAAAATGTTGCTGGAGGTGACTTTTAGTGAATTTGACTCCAATTGGAATTAACTGTAACTCATTTTAGGATACTGGTCTTCGTCATGACTCTATTTGGTCTTTTCTCTCCAGCCTCTGAAATGTCTTTGGGAGTTATGCACTGCCGTAGCTGTGCTAATGTTAAGTACATGCTTGTTCCTGTTTGCTTCATTTTGCATGACACATGATTTCCTAATTATATAAATGTGAGATCAGATGATGAATCACTGTGCATGACATCAATCAGCCTGACAGGTCCAAGTTCTTCATCCTGGACATCTTTGGCCCCCAGCCCATCTTCCTTCCCTCTACTTTGTTATTTCCATGACATGACGTCATGTGTCCTTGGGACTCAGCATTTAGTGACTGGCTTCTTAAAGATATCCTCCATAGAGATATCCCCGTGCTCTTTGATCTTCTCCAGTGTTAAGTGGTTTTGATTTTTTAATTTAATTTCACATTTCTTTCCTAACATGATGAAAAGACTGAACCTTTTGGGCTAGAGAGATGGCTCAGCAGTTAAGAGCACTGGTTGCTCTTGCAGAGGACTGGGTTTCAATTCCCAGCACCCACATGGTGGCTAACAACTGTCT